AATGGCTCCATTGAGCTGGATCATTACCTATTCTCAGCCCTGACACCTTGTGGTAGCCTAGAGAATAGAATCTTTTTGTTTATTGTATTTGAAATCTTCAAGCAGTTGTCCACAAGAGTTGCCATTCACCAAAGCAGTCTGTGAATACACTGCATCTTGATCAATGACACCCCTTCAGCATCCTCACACCCCTCCCAACCTACACCCCTTCCCTTATTTATCTTAATTTCAGTTTAGATATTGAATTGTTTTTTCACTTAACAAAGCAGTTCATGTGTACAATGTATCTTCATCTGGGCCATAACTTCAACAAAAAAATCAAAATTTCTTTGTTGTTTATTTTTAATTAGTATACATAGAGGTATACAGTATACTTTGATCAAGTTCATCACAACTATTATATCCCAAACCCTTCCTTTCCTCCATTCCCTTTTCAGTGTTTGTTGGGTTTTCTTATACTGCCCAGTATTATCTCTATCAGCATCATCATTATCATCATCATCTTCATTATTTAGGTCTAGGTTTTGGCTTTTTGATCTTGACATAACACTCAACAAGATGATCTCCAGTTTCATCCACTTTCTTGCAACTGACATAATTTCATCTCTCATTATGTCTGTGTGATATACTTCATGGTGTGTGTGTGTTTGCTTTACCCATTCATTGACTGTTGGGTACCTTGGCTAGTTGCACAGTTTGGCTATTGTGAAGAGTTAAAATGAAAGTGAAGATGCAATCATCTCTCATAAATTGATTTTCTCTCCTTCAGATGTATCCCCAAAAGTGATAGGGTCATAATGTAGACCTATTTTTAATTATCTGGGGCAGCTCCATATTGGTTTCCATAGCAGATGTACTAATTTGCATTTGCTCCAACAGTGTTTTAGGGTTCTTTTCATCATTTATTGTTACATACTTTCTTGACAAATGCCATTCTGGCTGAGTTGAGTTAGAGTCTTATACAGAGCTTAATTTTTGATTAAGTACCAGAGACTATAACCTAAGAAAGACGACCCAAAGGGAAATAGGAAAACTAATTTAAATGCTGCAAACAGATCGAATTGTATTCCATGTGTTGTGAAAAAGAATATGTCCTTAAGAAAACCGTTCACATTTTTTAAAATCAACAATGAAATCCTCCTCTTATAACTAAGTTAATTTTAAAAGTTTACATTTTAATGGAATATAAGTTTGTGAAATTTGAATTAATTACAATTCATTTTGCTGAGCATATCTGGCTTGCTTATTTGTTTATCTATAACATATGAACTAGATTAGCACTGGCTTACTTACATTTATTTATATGCTGCTTTCTTTTTGCATGCTGAATGGATACTATATTAAATTCAGTGTTTGTCATTTTTATTCATTTGACAAACCTGTCAATGTGTGCTTGTATAAGTAAATAAGAATATTGTTAGGTTTGTTTTTATAACTCATTACACAATAGGTATCATGTTCTTATTGCCTTTTGACACTTATTTTGCTCCTATTTTTCCATTCAATTTCAGCAGCATTTCATTTATTTAACTGTTTGTTTTTTCCTATCAATAATGATTTGAATTACTTCTTATTCTGTTGCTATTATGAATGATACTTATATTGACCATTCTAATGTAAGATCTATTCCTGCCAGTGTTCATGAAATAGTAATTGCAGAATCCAAAAGGATATGGAAATTCATACCCACAAAACAAAAACAAGTGGCATTCCAAATGAAATGGTTTACATTTTTACAATCACTATAGGGAAGTCCTATCAAACTTTATCAGAAAAAAGAACTATCAGGGTAAATTTTTTGACAATTAAACCAGTGAGAAGTAGTAACTTACTATAGTCTTGGTTCACATTTTCCAAATAAGGTACATTAACCCCTACTATAGAAAACAATTTATGATTGTGGTTTTTTTTTGTATGCCCCAAAGTTTCCATAATGTTTTGAATTTGGGAGATTAAACAGATAAGATGAAAACTTTAAGTCATTTAAAAGTAAAGTTATCAATATATGTCAAGTATATTTTTACTTTTTACAAACCCTTCTGTTTGTTGAAAGAAGCTTTAAGAGAGTTGCTAATAACTGTAATTAAATGTGTTAATTGGCTATTTACTAATGCCCACTGCACTTAATTTGGCTAACTGGAGGCCCCAGTCTAAAGAGGCAAATATATGTATCCTCCCACCTCACTTGGTTCTAATTTGCCAAACTTTTGAGTAAATAGAGACCAGAGGATATAATTAACACATCAGCTGTTTGGTGTTGGTCATGATGGAGAACAATTTTTCATTATGAGTCACTGGGGAAGAAGTTGTACTTAATGGAGACAGGAAAACATTTGTCACACAACATTACTTGAGGAGCAGAATGCTTGAGGGAATTCTTATCCTATTAAGCAACAGCCAAGTGAAAGTCTGAGCACGAAAACTTTAGCTGATGCAAGCGAAGCCAAAGAATAACTAGTAGCTTAGTCTGCTGTCTTAGTTGATTGGATTGATGTACACATGTTCCTAGAGCTGGCATCAGGACAGAGGAAAAAAAATCACAGATCAGAAGTAATCAAGGGAAAAAATCAAGGAAACATTTCTTGTCTGAAAAGGTGGAGTTAAGAAGAGAGGGGTGGATGGAGAAAGGAACAGTGGACAAATACAGTCATAATATTCAATATCCATATGTGAAAATGAAGCTAGGAAACTTGAGGGAGTGGGCAGGGTTGGGATAGATGGGGTAGAATAATGGAATGAGTAACACTGATCAAGACGCATTCTACACATCAATAGATACATTGAATTGAAACCCCTTTGTACAACTACTTAAATAATTTTTAAAATCATCTATTGTTACTGTATTGTTATGAAAAAAAGAACATTTTAATCCTGAAAATTTACTAAGGACATACTCTTAGATAATTCAAATAAGCAGTTTTCCAACATGAAAAGCTCATTAGATTATTTCTATTTTTTAATCTATGGTAATCTGTAAAAAAAAAAAAAAAAGAAAGAAAGAAAGAAACAAAAAGAGAAAATGTGTGTGAGTTCTAACCAAGACTAACCCTTAGAATGGAAGGAATTGGAAATCTTGAATAAATTATCAAGGTATCAGTAGTCTTAGAAAATATAAAACTACCTAAATTTTAAAAAATAACTTCACAAATGTTTGTCACTAGCTGGCTTTAAAGTGTTGCATTTTTTGTTCCCTGAATAAATGTGTCCCTAAATGCAGCCTCATGGTTTCCACCATTGAATACCTTTGTAACAGATCACTTTCAGCACACAATAGTTCATCTAAGGGCAGTTCTTTAAAATGTATTTCCTTAATAATATATTTTCAAAGCTTAAACATAGAACATAGATAGTTGCTGGCAAAATTGGTTAACTACATGTAGAAAACTAAAGCTAGATCCTTATATATCACCCTGCACCAGAATCAACTCCAAATGGATCAAAGACCTTGA